ACCGAAATTAAAATTTTGGGCCGAAACCGAAAATTCTGGATGCACTTGGCTGAAAACCGAAACCGAAAATGCTTTGTAATAATTAATTATTATTTTATTAAATGATATAAAGTAATTTTGTAAGACTTTTAATGACAGTGACACAAAAAATTGGACAGAAAATATATTAAGATTAAATATCAAGATATTATTTTTATTCAGTATTATCAGAGCATGTGAGCAGAACATAGCGGGGAGCAGATCAGTGAATGAGAGGGTAGCGTCATTTTACATGTGTTGCCCAGTACAGCTGTACTACACCATGTTACATACAGTAGCGCTATTGCAAACAGGAACAAGTTTACTACATAGAAATTTCCTGCGCAGGCGCGTTGAGTAGACTTTGCTTTTCAAGTGAGCATGAGCGGTACACACATTCATACAGCGGAATATTGAGTGGAGCGGTGGCTAGAGGGAGAGAGAAACCTGCGCTCTGAACACTACCGGGTGGTGCAGCGCGCCATATATTTTCGGCTGTTTTTCTCTTTCAGTGCATTCGGAAATTTCGGTGCATCCCTATAAAATACCATTGGTATATACTACTTCCGCCACCTCACCGGAAGTTGTCCCCATGTTCTTTTTTACAGTAGCGCCCCCCGGAAACTGCTGGATACAGCGACAGTGTTTACGACACTGGTAACAGACAATTGCGCTTATCAACCACATGGGGGAATGGTGAGCAAAAGTTACATGGGGTTGCTTTAAGCATAAAAAAAGATCAGCAAGGTTACAAAGCTCAAAGTCCAATCTAAAAGGAGATATTATATTTGATAGAAAACACCTTTTTTTTTTATAACTACAACAAACTGCTTGTTTGGACTACAGCGCACTTCTTCCGAATATTCGGAATATATTGTTAAGTCACAAAGTCATTCATTTAAATATTTCCTGCCCACGTAATATGCAAAAAAGATACCATAGACTGAAATGTTCTGTAAATTCTGTTCTTGCAAACCCCAAAACCAAATCAAGACTTAATAACTGCTTTCTATTTAATATTTTAATTTGTAAATTTTTATGTCATTATTTGTTGTGTTGGACTTTATGTTAATATTCTTGTTTCTTTGTTGCATTTACTGTACTGGTTTTTGTAGTCCAATTGTAGCTTAATTTCTGATTGGGTGTCCTTGATTGGGTCCGCAGGTGTCCCTTGTATGTTTATTTACCCTTCTGTATTTAAGTTTCCCTGTGTTTCATTGTCAGTTGTTTTACGTGTTTATGTGTCCCTGGATTTGGCATCCCTGTTCTCATGTTTTGTTTTGTTTTCTGTTATTAAAACTGCTGCACATTTATTTGTGTTTCCTCCTGCTTTTTTTTTGTCCTTGGCATCACATTTAAAATGTAATCATCATGATTTTTTTTCTTTTTTTTGTGCAAGAAAATCACAGTAATTGCCATGTCATACTGACCTGAATAAGATATTTCACATAAAAAAAAACATTTACATATAGTCCACAAGAAAAAAATGAATTTATAAAAATGACCCTGTCTTTTTATTATATTTTTTTGTTTTTGTTTTCTGATAGTTGTTCATGAGTCCCTTGCTTGTCCAACAATGACTGTATGATTTTGAGATCTATATTTTCAAAAATACTACAAAAGATTCAAACAGTCACTGATGCTCTAGAAGGAAAAATTATGCATTAAGAGCCAGGGGTGTAACTTTTGAACAGAATGAAAATGTGTAAATGTTTTTTCTTATTTTGCCTAAATATCTTTTCTTTTTTTTTTCATTTAGCACTTCCCTTCAGAAGCTACTGATGATACTTACATGGCTCTTAATGCATTGCATATACCATAACAACAAGCCCAAAGACTCTTATTAACTGTCGCCTTTAAGAAGTGGACATGGCAACCCTTCAAGACCACGCCCTGTGAAGTAGCCTTCCAAACATTAACAAAACATGACGGCTCTGTTGACGGTGGTTTAGTTAAAATCGCCAAATATAACAAGTCTTTGGTCGCTGTACTATTACTGTGGTTAAAATTACAGTATCACAATTTGGTACTTTTCCATAAATATCTGTACCAAATTATTGAACCACTGAACCATTAATTAGGAACTTTTTTATTGCAATATTGCATTGTGTTACATTCAAAAGATACCATTCCTCAACATGTTCATGTGTAGTTGTTCAAAGCCATCAATGGCTTTGCTTTTCTAAAGCATTTCAGTGATAATTAGAATGGCTTTTAAGTCAAATGGTGTCCTACATAACCCTCAGTGCTGCCAATGTTATGGATGAAAAAGCATTTATTCATCAAAGCACTTTGAGGCCCTCTGTTCTTGTTAGCTTTTGGTTTGGACATGGAATGAAAGAGGAAGCGTCCCGTAGTGACTTGGTTTTTGAAGCCATTAAGATTCACCCACTCTTCATCTGACATCGTTCTTACACGTCCATTACACCATCACATCCCTCTAAAGCACTAAAGTCCTAGTGAAAAGAAGAAGAAAAAATAATCTAATTGATTGAAATCAAAAATATAATGCATGGTTCATCTGGTCATACACTCATTTATAGAGGTCACGAAGAAGAAGAAGAAGAAGAAGAAGAAAACATGCAACTTTCATGTTGTACCAAAAAAAAAAAAAAAAAAAAAAACATTTCTGGAACTAAATCCATACAAAAAATATGGATTTTTTTTTACTGCGTCAGTCCTCTGGTTTAAGCAGACAAGATAGTTTCTCAATGCTGTGCAGAAACCTGACATTTGTGCCGTTTCCATGGCAACCAACTCACTCACACCCAAGCCGCATCCTAGCAATCGTCACTATCAAATTGACGCTATCACTGGCACATACCAAAGAGGCACAAATACTCCATTCATTCATAAACATTATATATTAAACGTTTTAATGTGGTATGTGCTTTACTTAGTATATAAGTTTGCTACATACTTATTTGTGACCCTGTACCACAAAACCAGTCATAAGTAGCACGGGAAAATTTGTAGCAATAGCCAAAAATACATTGTATGGGTCAAAATTAACAATTTTTCTTTTATGGCAAAAATTTATTAGGATATAATATTAGGATCGAACATTAGGATATTAAGTAAAGATCATGTTCCATTAAGATATTTTGTAAATTTCCTATTGTAAGTATATCAAAACTTAATTTTTGATTTGTAATATGCATTGCTAAGAACTTAATTTGGACAACTTTAAAAGCGATTTTCTCAATATTTAGATTTTTCTTTTTGCAGCCTCAGATTCCAGATTTCCAAATAGTTTTATCTCAGCCAAATATTGTCCTATCATAACAAACCATACATCAATGGAAAGCTTATTTATTCAGCTTTCATATGATGTATAAATCTAAAAAAAAAAAAACCTAAAAAAAAAACACTGACCCTTATGACTGATTTTGTGGTCCAGGGTCACATTTATTTAATACATTAATACTTTTATTCAGCAATGACTCGTTAAATTGTCACACATCATCAAATAAATGCTGTTTGTTTGTTGTTGTTGTCTTTGTTTGTTTTATTTTTCATCAAATAGTTCTGGTCATATGAAAAAAAAGTATCATGGTTTACACACACACACACACAGTAATAATAATAATAATAATAATCACAACTTGTTTTCAACATTGATGATAATAATAAATGTTTCTTGAGCAGCAAATCAGCATATTATAATGATTTCTGAAGGATCATGTGACACTTAAGACTGGAGTAATGATGCTGAAAATTCAGCTTTGCATCACAGGAATAAATTAAATTTTAATATAAATTAAAATAGCAAACAGCTATTTCAAATTGTAATAATATTTCACAATATTACAGTTTTTAATGTATGTTTGATCAAATAGATGCAGCCTTGTTGATCATAAGAGACTCCTTATAGTGTTGTCCAGTATAGCAACTATTAAATCAATCATGCCACCCTTGAACAAATCACCCTACATGGGCCACTGCAGTCAAATAGGTAAATACACACAACTGTACCTCTACTGACAAAATTTGCTCATTTCAAAGGTGTTGGGCTGATAACCACAGTGTGCGGTCGTTCTAATGTCCATGAATTTAAAAAAAAAGAAAAAAAAAAACACATCACAGATTCAAACCCTGTACCCTGTGGCCTGGTGGCAGCCTTAATGAAATTCCCTCTCAAGTCCTCGATGTACTCGTTTGAAACAGTAAACGTCATTTCCTGAATCAAAGAAAACCTGGGAAATATGGCCAAACTTTCAGAGGCAAAAGGTTTGCCACAATCTGCGAACAAATCTCCCTGGAATGTCCATTACTGTGGTCAGAAAAGATCAGCTCTTTTGAGAGCAGAGGTTTCTCAGCCAAGATAATACATAGAACGTACCTTCATATTAGATTTTTCCTTGGAAATAAGACATTTACCCTGTGATCTTTCCTTAGCTCAATTCTCTTTCAATAACTCAAGAGGCACCTGCGAATAAAATGTTCCCCTGGCATTTTCGCCGCTTTTTGTGATTACATTAAAACCTCACACTTTTAGCCGGCTGCAATTCAATATCGAAACGACCCAGCCAAGCAATTTAAATACGCCTTTCTACAGCTGATGGGATTTGCCGCCTCTGCTCGATAAGCTCCCCCACGTCCAGTGGAGGTGTTATCTGTCGCCTCTGTGGCGCTTCGAATATTTGGACATCATCATCTATCATAGGGCAGCAGGCGGCAGGGTCAGAGTGGGGGTCTCTGGGCCCCAGCATCTCCAGCTGTATTTTAGTCAGGGCGGCTGCGAGCATCTGCTGATGTATTGCGGGCAGTGGAGGGTGAGGTTTGGAGACAGCCACAGTCACCTTGCGCTTTCTGCACCGGTGCAGGCAAGACTAATGCATGCGGCATTTAGACAATAAACATGTCTGTCAAAACGATCTCAAAGTAGGCTTTTATTAAGCAAATCAAAGAGTGAATTGCTCGTCCAAGGTTTTTCAAGCAGGCATTCGTTGGGCTTGATTCAAGTTAATGCACAATGGCAGGCGCACACTTTCTATTTAGTCTTACTGAATAGACGATAAACAGTTTATATTCCAAAATCTATTTATAGGTTGTGTTCTGTGTAAATTAAATAACATTTGGATGTAAATGGTCGGCATAAAAGTAGAACACTGTGCCGCTAAAACAGCTGCATCCTGTGGATCACCTTTATCTGATTGTCCGGGTCCGGAGTCATCAAGCACGGCATTGATATCTTCAACTGAGTTTTTCGTTGTCTCCAGATCTCTTTGCAGTTCGTATACGTTGTTAAAAACGCTGAATATCATTTTTTGCCACACAACAGGAATGCATTATAAGTCTATTATCCACCAAAATGCAGATTTGTCACGCGACATTTACGCAAATGAGATTGAGGGAGACGTTAAGTTTGTTTTGATTTATTAATTTACTTACAGTAACAATTTAAAATGTATTAACTTTTACATGTATTATTAACTACATTATATGCATATTTACTTTAGAAATAAAAATCTTTATAAATAAATATTTCGTTAAAATTCTTAAATCTCTATGGGGGGGCCAGGCTACACCAATGTTTACAGGGCCAGAGTTTTGATTTAAGAAAGCCGCATTTTATCACAATTCCTTGCACAATATAATGTTATGACTTCAAAACAAAGATGTGAGATTTGAAAACTGGTACTTTTTTAATGTTAGTGTCACATATACAGCTGCATATGTATGAGTTTACAAATGCAGCAGGTTTGTACTTGTGAAGTGAAGCACTCCGGTACGAATCCTGTGAATCTACTGTGTGACCAAATAGCTCAAACTCATTTATAAAGAAGTTAGAATAGCACGGTTGCATCAGAGAATACGTCTTTGCCGTCTTTTAAATTTGTTAACACCATCAGGTAGGTTTAGGGTTGGGTTTGTCGTTGGGGGTATGTTACTTTCCAACACGATAGAGCATTAATGTTTTGGCAACACTGACCAGACATTTGAATTCTGAACCACCGCAATACATACTAAAAACAACGTAATAAAAACGCAGAAATATGTGCCTGTACCTAATGATGTAACGTGGCCACGGTCATGTATTGATTGCATGTTTTAGTGCCACTTACTGGACATTTCACTTTGAAACTGCCTCAAAATGTACAGTAAGGTACATAATATCGTTTCGCAAAAACATCGGCACAAGCACATATTTTCAATGAGCCTGGGTTGAATTTTTTTCTTTTTTTTTTTTTTTTTTAAAGAAGACCTACTTAATTATAATGCACTTCCACTTCCAGACAAAATTATGTCCCAATCCCATTTGCCTCATCTCAATTCATAATTTCCTCTCCCACCAGGGGTAAAATTTTGGATTTTTGTCAAACATGCTACAGTTTAGATCAATTTTCAAGCTGAACTCCTGCTTACAACAAAGAAGTGACAATGCAATTGGGGGAAAAAGCACTTGTCTCAGTCTACAGTTTCCCTACTTCAACTCCAACTTTCACCTTGGTTCTCATGTCAGTTTCTCTTATTGCAACATGGGCTCAGGAGCCAGCTCATCACAGTCATCTGACTGCAGTCTTGAGGCACTGGGATGGAAGTGAGAAATTACCATGGTTTAGTACATCCAGTACACTCTTTATTACATCCAGACCACCTGCAACACCCACACTCAGTTACACCAATAGATCACAGAATGTGCTTTGAATTTAAAGAACCACATATCTTGATTTCAATTCATGCTGTTGAGTAATAGTTATGCATTTAACCAATTAACAGATCATTTAATCCAATCCAATAAAATCACAAGCAATTTATCATGCAGGACTTCACAATACTGCAATACAGGTACAAAACCAAAGACCTCCGTGAAGTTGGCCCCCCACCCAACGCAAAACGTTGCAAAAATAGTCTCAATCGTTTGTGCTCCGTTTGTGCTGGTTTGTGCTGTAAAAATTTTCGTTTGTGCTGCTTTGGTTTGTTAGATATAAAATATTTATTTAAAGGTCATTCTCAGGTCACTCAGCTCCCCCACATGCTCCAAATTCACCCCAAATAGTCTTGTTGGTTTGTGCTTGGTTTGTGCTGGTTTGTGCCGGTAAAAATTTCGTTTGTGCTACTTTGTTTTTTAAAATATTAAACATTATATTTTAGGCGATGACGTCACCAGCCCCCATACATGCTTCAAACTCACCCAAAATAGTCTCAATCGTTAGCGCTTCATTTGTGCCGTAACAATTTTTGTTTGTGCTGCTTCAGTGTTTAAAATATTAGACATTTAATTTTAGGGTCGATGACGTCACCAGCCCCCCACACGCTCCAAATTTACCCCAAATACCTGTGTTTGTTTGTGATCCGTTTGTGCTGGTTTGTGCCGTAAAAAAATTATTTGTGCTGCTTTGGTTTTTAAGATATTTAAAAAATATATTTAATGGTTTTTCTGAGGTCACTCAGCCCCCCCACATGCTCCAAATTCACCCGAAATAGTCTCGTTTGTTTGTGCTTAGTTAGTGCTGGTTTATGCAGGTACAATTTTCGTTTGTGCTGCTTCAGTTTTTAAAATATTAAACATTATATTTTAGGCGATGACGTCACCAGCCCCCCTACACGCTCCAAACTCACCCAAAATAGTCTCAATCGTTAGTGCTTCATTTGTGCTGGTTTGTGCCGTAACAATTTTCGTTTGTGCTGCTTCAGTTTTTAACATATTAAACATTATATTTTGAATGACCTTTAAATAAATATTTTATATCTAACAAACCAAAGCAGCACAAACGAAAATGTTTACAGCACAAACGGAGCACAAACGATTGAGACTATTTTGCGATGTTTTGCGTTGGGTGGGGGGCCAACTTCACGGAGGTAAACCAAAGTTGTATAAAAGCTAGAGCAGAACTGTGGCTGTTTGTATGTTTTTACTTATAATTTGGATATAAAGTTATCACAAGAGGTTTAGTGACTAGTTATTTTGTAACTTTGTACTCAATTTGCTATCAGTCTTAAAATCATCATGAAATGAATACACCCTATATAATTTGTAAATGTATGTTGATCTAATTGTGAATGTTGGTCCTATTGTGAATGATTAATTATCCTTTTTTTATTTATTGATGCATGTATTTTTACAAAGTCATTTTATATAAGAAAACTTCAAATTCATGTTGAAAAGCAGAACATTTCAGTTTTGTTTGATGTATTCATTTATTTTACCCCACATAACTATAACATTAAATATACATTGAAATACAATACATAAACATAAATACATAAATATTACAAATATTTAAGTAATACTAAAACATCTTGTAAAGCAACTTTGTACCTTATTGTGATTGAATACCAAGGACACTCTTTATTTTAAGGGTCCAGAATTATGCATTAGTTAAGTACAAATAGACTAGTTATTAATGATTGACTTGTCCACAATTATGCATTAGTTAAACACAAACACAATAGTAATTAATGATTAACTTAACATATAGTAAGGGCATATTAGCCGCTATTTACAATTTATAAAAAATTTGAAGGATCCACATCCATTAAATAAATAAGCTAGTAATTAATGATTAACTGATTGTATTGTAAACACCTTTTAGCCATTATTTACAACTTAGCAAACCATATATTATATTTTGTGTAGTAATGTACTTATATTTTAGTGATCCACCATCTATTAAGTTAACTGAGCAATATGAAGTCTTCAGAATTTACACAAATCATTTCCTTTGTTGCAGGCAAAATTTCAAAAAGTCCATAGTCAGTCAAATACGATGCAGAGTAGGGAGTCACAAGGAAGGTCACTTCATCATCTTTAACGAAAATCAGCTCAAGATATCCAACTTGCAAAGTAGAATAATCCTCTTCACATTTAAGGCAAATAAAGTTCCCTTTCCTATACGGAGTACCCTTGTACTCTACCTGCGTTGCAACAGAGTCTGGTTCATTTAGCATGCTTGTCTCAACAGTTAAAACATGTTATTTAAATTTTCAGTCAAAGAATGGTATTTAATTTAATGGTCTCTGCATGTTTCTTAATTACACAGACAAAACATGTAATTTCAGATTACACTTTAAACATTTCATTGTATTGTATGGTCAATGTACCATTTATCATGTTGCTGTGTAAACATGTTACTTCAGTTCTTCGTGTATCACCGTTATTCCCATTAATGGCAAACGTTTGGCACCCTGTGCTGCCATGCATTGCACCTTTTTTTTACGTGGTTTTTTTTTTACAGTGCAGTTATAAATTGCTAAAATAGAATGGTCGTTTTGAAGGATTACATAATGTTAAACAAGACTACACTATAAAACTTTAAAATGAGTAACATTTCTGTAATCGTTTAACCATTATTTATCATGTAATACTTATTTGTTCACCGTGGGACACAAAAGGGGTTTTCTCAGTATAGTCCTATGCTGTGACTGATAATAGAACCAGAAAATACACCAAAACGCAATATAAATTCAGAAAATACATCAAATTAATTTGTTCAATGTAATCTACATATTTAGAATCGCGATGAACAAATCCAAATTCAAGCCTTTATTCTGTGATCTTCATCTCCATTCTCAGTCAGCAGTAGGGGTTGAACGACTTCTGATTTTTTGAAGTCGACTTTTATGTGATGAAAGTCGAGTCGAAGTCGACTAGTCGCTGATGACGTCATTAATGAACAAATAAGTCTGGAGCTGTGACAAACACCTTTGGTTGGCATGTCACCACAAATACTCCATAACTTCTACAGATGAACTGTGGAGTGTGTGCTAACTTGCTGCATCGCTATGTGGTTTGGCAACAGCACAACACATGACAGAAAGGCACTACACAGGGTGATAAAGCTGGCCCGGAAAATCACAGGGACAGATCTCCCCTCACTGCAGTACATATACTATAAAAGGATCTGCAAATGGGCTTGCAACAAGCAAGAGGTACCTGAGCACTAGCAAGTGGTACCGGAGCACTGCGGCCAGAACATCCAGACTCAAGAACAGTTTATATCCCCAAGCCATTAGACTGATACATAGTCAAAACCCACTGCCATTTCCACCTGTATCATCAGGATAAAATCAGCCTTTTTAATGTCACTCTGCACTTTACCTGCTGGACCATCATACACTCATCTCATAATGCATTAGACTGATAATCATGGACAATTTAAACAGTAGACTTTACACTGACACTTTATGTCCACTTGACACTTTAACATTGTCACTTTATTGTTACTTGCACTGCATCATTTATACTGTGAAGAATTTTTATTGTCAGTTGTTTTTCTAATTTACATACAGGTTCTCTTTTTTTCATTACTTTCTTTTTATGCTATTGTTATTTATTTTTATTATACTTTACTGTATATTCTATATTTTTTATGTTATTTTTATTGTCCTATTACATTATGTTTGTTCCCCTTCTACCCTGTCATTCTCGTGAGGAGAAAACAAAATAATAATTTCCTTGTACTAGTACATATGACAATACAGCTCTTGAATCTTGTATTAGTGGCAGTTTAGCCATAGTCATTGACTTATTCTAGTCAATAAACTTGAATATCACTAAATAAGTGCAATAATAGCATTCACTTTAGAACAGGGGGTCACTGTCTTTATTACACTATTTTAGCAATTTATAACTGTAACACCAGCACTAAGTGCATTACTACACAAAAATATAATATGGTTTGCCAAGTTGTAAATAATCGCTAAAAGATGTTTATTGTACATTCAGTTAATCATTAATCATCATTACTAGATTAATTTAATTTATCGCATGAATGTGGATCCTTCAATGGTTAATATGCTCTTATTTTAAGTTAATCATTAATTACTAGTGTGTTCACGCTTAACTAATGCATAACTATAGACCCTTAAAACAAAGTATTACCACTCTTTTCACATTTACTTTTTTAAGACCAGTGACTGGTTGCATAAAAGTCTTAGACTAGTCTTACAAGTCACAAGTCATTTTTTTCTGGTCATAACTTTTTATGACTGGTCATAACTTTTCAAGTTGGTTACAGAAAATCGAGGACTGGTCTAACTTGAAACCGAAAAATAAGACTCATTACCCCTTGGATAACTGTTAGTTGTTCAGTTGTTATGGCCAAGTTTTTGCAACTTGCCCGGTTTCTAAGTTGGACATTGCATTATTTAGTCACTGTGTACAGGCTAACATGCATGGAATGCAATTAAAGAGTGTATTTTTTATAGCTTAACTGCAAAGTCATTATTTTACTTACAGCTGAACAATTATATAACCTCCTCATCTCTCAGAATATGCCCTGCACACTTGACCTTGAACAGTCCATCAGAGACATTGTTCATTCAGTAAGAATTCCTATGAGTCTACAGCTTTCTCCCTAATTAGCATAAGTCTTTTTTCAGCAAATACGACAGCAGCAGGAAAGACAGGAGATATTCACCTGCCTGCGTTTGGCACCTTCACAGCACGTTGACAATGTGCTCCGACAGATGGTACCATTAACAAAGCTCTTCATACTGTGATGCCCATATTCCTTTTTATTATCTCCTGCCTGACTGGATCCCATCCCAGCTCACTCTTCTGCCTCCAAACCTACTAAGTATCTGACCTGGGGTCTACTTTAGACGTGTAAAGATCTATTCAAAACCTCTCGACAAGCCCTACAGGTCCTACATCTCTTTTTAAATTCAAAGATATAATGAAAAAGCTGGAAAGTTCCTCTTTGGCTGTTTAAACCCCTGGAGATTGGGGGCGAGGACTTCTGTGGGCATTATACGAACAGGAAGCGAGTAACAGTGGGAGTTCACTCCTCGTCAATAGGTGCTTTCCTCTGCGATTTGGATGGCAGCCAGCCTCCCTTGGTTTGGCCAACAGTACGCAAGTATGAAAAGTCAAAAGGTTTTTTTGAGTAATCACAGTTTCCTTGCTGACACTTTATGAATAATGATTTATGATGGAGGTGGTTGAGTCTTGAATGCCCTTTCTTAATTTGTGAAATACACTACACAAACTGGCCCCAAGAGAGGACGATAGCTTATAGAAGTAAATAGCTTATAGAAGTAAAGCGCTTAAAGCCTCGATCCCTGGCAGAACCCATGTTTGACACGTTTAGCATGAGAAATGCACGGGAATGCTAATAAGGTTGAAAGTAATGCCTCTTTCCTCTCTTATTTTTCTTGCAGCAGCTGGTGGCTAACCAGTTTAATCAGTGATAATTATATTTAGCTCACAAGCTCTGGAGCAGTTTTGCACTATTTACCCAAGGAATGATAATAGGACCCAAAAATGTTCCTTTGCTTCAGCAAGCTTGTCTTTTGTTTTTCTTTGCCCACGAGGCAAAGTGGTGGAAATGGAGTAAGACAGGCCTACAGACGCGACTCTAAGGGGGAGGGGTGGGCGGTGTAATTGTAATTATCCATTCAGCACCTCATATGATTCTAACGATTCCATGAAACAGAATGCTAGCGTACGTGCTCGCGCAAACGTTTTGTAATAAGTCTTCCGAATCTTCTGGTGACACCTCATAATTAGCCCTCTTAAACTGAGCCATTCGCCATCCAGCGAGGCACCCACGCAGGGTCCCTCCGGAGCCGAAAGCTGCTTTGGGCACTTTCATTACGCGCTTCACTTCCGCGTGTACACTTCTCCCTCTCTCTCTTTGTTCAGGGAACAAGATCAGAGGTCTGCTTGAGGTGTTCCTTTTTTTTTTTTTACTTTCCTTTATCTCATTCATCTTAAAATGCAAATGTGGCGCTAAAACCCACAAATTCTTTACTTAATAAACTTATCAGTAATGCTTCATCATCTTTGTCTTGGATGTTTCTCCTTAAATTCGTTAAGAGAAAGAAATGGAAATATGATAATTGTCAACGTACAATAACACTGTCTACACTGGACAAGAGCTGCGCGATGCAACAAAATCAAAGACAACCAATTATAATTAGTAGGAATATTTGCATGCACTAATTTTCATCAATCCATATCAATCCAATTTCAGATTCCACAAGTTCTGTTTACGACACTAAATATTGTTATCCCATTTACATTTTATTTTACATGTGCATTAAATGTTTCTGAACAAAAATTCAGCGCATACTCAGTACCTGGACGCTTATTAATTCAGCGCATACTCAGTACCTGGACGCTACGTTGAGAGCCAGAGGATTTTGAAGAGTCCCCATTGCAATTTCTGTGCAATAGGCTCAGAATCCCTAGCGACTCCACTTATAATGAGAGAAACAAAGCTTTCCAAAGCTTTAAATCAATTGAAGCAATTGCTTTGCAAAATTATGCCACATGTTGGTGACTCCTGCTGGTCAAAATAGTATAAATGCAGCGAAAGCTCAGGCCAAACATGCATAAAAACAGCTTTTACAAACCCATTGGAAATGTTTTATTGAAAGTATATTTCATCAGATGTAATTAGCAAATCATTTAATACCAGTAAATATTAAGTGTTGGTATAATATGTTATTTTATCAATTGTCAGGCTTGTTTTGATTGTTTTATGGATTACTCAGCTAAACATGCCAATAAAATACTATCAACTACTATTATTCCTTTTAATTAAACCAATGTCTCATTTAAATGTCTATAAATTTATTGAACTTATCCGAGATCAGGTAAAAACTATAGACACTTGTTCAATGGTTCGCTGCTTAGGGTGATCTCAGTGAATCTGCATTATTCACTCGTTCACAGAGATTGTGCCCTAGTGGTGAACCATTGAAATTTTGAATCAATTCAAAATAGTTATGACGTAACGAAACCTCGTTTACTGAAATCACGTGACTTTGGCAGTTTGATATGCGCTCTGAACCAAAGATTCGAAACAAAAGATTTGTAAAGGTTTTGAAGCTTCATGAAGCAGTGTTTTTCGAAAGCAGCCATTGCTAACATACAACATTAGTATCTGTTTTAGTAAATGGTATTTTTCGCCATTTACAAATCTGACTACTGCTCTTCCATGGCCTCATGGGATGGTAAAGTGTCACTGGATGCAATTTGTATTTTTTTCTGTTTTAGGAATACTGCATTTTTCAGACATTCTACTGCTTTGACATACTACTTTTCACATATACTGAACTATATAGTAGAGAAGTAGACATATTTGGTTACAGGGACTATTGAGATCTCTTCTGTAAATTTAGAATTTACATTATGTGAGATTACTAGAGTCTTTTTTCTTTGAAGAAAATCCTGAAGCAGGAGAGTTAAACAAAAGTCGGCATTTGTTCCCCTTTTGATCTCATAGCTGTCTAGGAGAATGCATTGAGATATTCAGGAGATCTTGTTGGTGATTTTCCTTTCCTATGGGTTTTGCGAGTGCATGTGATAAAGCTCGTCTAGTTGGGAATTTGCAGAGCCTGATATAAAACAGATAAAATTAGTTACGGATGACATAAATCTCCCGTTAAATCCAGAGAGGGACTGGATGCAGTTTCTGGCTTTGAGTCATGCGGTGGTTATGAGTGCACATTAATTCTAATGGAATAAAGTTCCAAACTAGGTCTATCTCTGAAGCCACACTCATGGCGATTGTGATTCAGGAGGTCCCCAATCATATTTAATGCATGATGAATCATTTAACTATCAATTGAGTCATTCAGTGGCAATTCCCAGCCGGTTCTCACTTAGCATATTCACCTGGAAGTGCCTTATTCATCAGCAATATGGCCGCTCTTGTTATTGGAAAGATCAAAGCTTTCCTCCTCGAGTTTGAAGGGTTTCACTTACATGGAAAACCAAGAAGCAACTTCCAGCTGAAGAGTGACTCACTGATTCTATCCCTTCAGAAGAGCGGTGTACTGAAATAGCCCCATGCTAACTGCTAACTGAAACTCACCGCTTCAAGGATTTCATTAAGATGTCTACTTTGAATTGCAGACAGACTTTTTCCACCTCACTTTCCACAAAAACAATGCATTTTCTCTCAGTTATGGTCTCATTAGATGCTCAGTCTTACCT